ATATATATATATATATATATATATATATATATATATATATATATATATATATATATATATGAGGCTTAAGCACTAATATTCCATGGTTATAATTTATTATATTGAATTGTAATTGGATCCAATTCATCAGACCTACAAATTCAAAAAGAAAATTTAGGTCTGATGAATTGATCGTGATTACGATTCCAATGTAATAAATTATAACCATGGAATATTAATGTTTGGGTCTTTTATATTATATTCTTGCTATGTCTTGTACATAGAGATCTACCTGGATTTTATGCTCTTGAAAACATATATATATTGCCCACTAATATTATCTATCGCTCTCTCTCTCTCTCTATATATATATATATATATATATATATATATGTGTGTGTGTGTGTGTGTGTTTGTCTAATATATTTTCAGATAGGGTGTATCAGTGAAGAATCAAAATGAATAAAAGAGGCAAGAGTAAAACCTATTCTCAGCAGACGCGTTTCGTCCTCGGGTGGGCTTTATCACGGCAAATTTAAGAAATTTTGTTATATACAACGGCAAGTATATCATTTATCAAAACTTTTAAATTCGAAAACGTCCAAGAATATGCATCAGGCTGTTGGAATATGTGGAGGATACAACTTGTCATAATTCAATGTTTGGTAAGACAGAAGTGAGCGAGTAATATTCAAGAAATATATTTGTTTTTAATAAATGAATATTGTTTAAATTGTGATTAGATTGCTATGGTTTGGAATCGACGTACGCCCTGTAAAAATGGAGGTAATGGATTTTTACTGTTTTCTTTTGATTTTGTAAGATTTTTGTAGTTGTGGATATTAGCCTGGGGAAATGGCGATTCTTTCAGGAAAGAAGAGATTGGAAAGAAACAGGGCCGTAGATTTATGTTTTGATAAAATTCAATAGTGGCTCACTCGAGAATTTTTCTTCCAAATAAATTACTTTTCTTTTTTTTTGATAAGTGTGTCATTTTTTAGATTTAAACTATTTCTTGCATGTTTCTCGCTCACTTCTGTGTTTTATAGAAATTAATTGTCGCTGCCGACACTTGAGTTTGAACATAGATCGCCAGTGTGCAAACACAGGCAATCCCATTATTGAATCAAGTCGAACACGTCACCATAGAGAAAATGCATATATAGGAAGTCACGTGATGTCTAGATTAATCTTCTATACTATACTGATCGACATTTCTATTCTATCCTCTATTACTCTACGGACCGCCATTTTCCACTCTGTTCCCTATACTATTCTCTTTTCGGATCACTATTCTGTGGTTACTATTCGAGCGAGTCTTATCGAGCAAATACTATTAGTGTGAGTGATATTCGAAGGCGTCTGACACCTGCATTGTTCAACGGCGTTACTATAGTTGTATCTGCGATTACAAAGTCTCTACTACGACGAGCATTACAAAAGTGACAACGGGTATTCGTTGACATTGATTACAAAAGTGGCAACGAATGTTCGCTGAGATCATAACATTCTGTCTTACCAAACTTTGAATTATGGCACTTTGTGTCCTCCACATGTTTTGAAGACAAGGAGAGATTTAGGTATTGATAGATAGTGAAATAACAAATTGATTTCTTATTTTTTACAGCTTATCAACCCTTCATGTTTGATTTAAAACCGAAATAATATTTTTGTTCGTTAGAATAATTCCTTTTCTAGAGAGTGAATAATGCATCAATAATTTTTTTCGGGGATAATAATGTTTTTTTCAAGATACAAGTTTTAGTATTTAACCCATAGTTAGAGCTGATCGCTTCATTCCTTTCGAAATTGTATTAGCACGTAAGTGAATGCAGCGGTTCCGACTTAAATTCGAACTCGGTTTAGCGATTACCTATAGCGAGCAACTATCTACTACACCACCCGCACATCTTGATGACAGCGAAAGAGAAATAATTGAAATAAGTAGTTAAGAAAGAAAACAGAAGTATAACGATAGAAATAAAATGGTAAATAAACGAAGAATTAATATATTTACAGATGGTAGAGAAAATTTCTGTAGCCAATGAAATAAAGACGAAATGAATGAGATATGAAAGTGAATGATAATAGTCTTTTCTTTATAAAGAAACATTTCACATTCATTGACCGAGAAGCCAGACTGCTCATTGTTGAAATCAAAAAATATCTTTCTCTTAAAATAATTTTAACAGGTTTCTTGAGTCCAGTAGATGTTATCGCTCTTTCCAGTATTGATTGGGGTTTCCTTCCTAACCTTTTGTTTGAAGCAGTGTGGAATGTCAGCATTTTGATTCTGTCGTTATTTTCTCTTCGAATTACATGTGTTATCCATTTTAGCTCTTGCTGCTCTCGAAATTGCTCAATTACTGTGGAATTATGGAGAGCGAATGGGAGAGCCGAGTTCGAATTCCAGTCGAATACATTACATTCACTTACGCGCTGAATCATCTTCTTCTTCTCCCACCTATGGGTAAATAGCAGGACAGACCGGGTTCTATAGCCTTGGATGGCAACTGGTCTACCCCAGAAAGGAATGGCAGCCTATTGCGAGAAAAGTTTGCCTCGCCAGTCATGTGTCGAAAGATACATGATTGCCTAAGTGTGTATCACACATGGCACGTAACTGACTGGCTGATGTGGTTTATGTTATTTGGTACAGTTCTTTGTGATTATGTAGCGCCAGTTCACAATGTTCAAAGAAGAATGACCTTTGCCAAGACCTAGACAATGTTTACTCAATCAAAGCCTGTTTTCAACATTGATCTTAGAAACCGATTGCGTATATATATATATATATATATATATATATATATATATATATATATATATATATAATTTACCTGATGATCCGGAGTCCTTTAAAAGGATTTTGGCGAAATAAATTATTGTAATGGTAGCTTAAAGTGGTCTGTTTTTATATATATATATATATATATATATATATATATATATATATATATATATATATATAAATCACATTATAAAATGAACAAATTCCGACAATTATTTAAAGACATTTTTATATGTTTAACATTTTTTTTATAGATACAATAATAATGTGTGATGTCATTTGTTTACATTTGATACGCCATGAGCAGTTATGAATGTACGTGAGAGATTCATGGAAAATTGAAAGTTTATAAGCAGTAAATTCGACCTTTGTGGCCGAGTGGTAAGGCACGTCAGGCTATATCACGGTTCCGTATAGGATACAGGTTTTATGACGAAGGACGAATATTTTCTATGAAAATTTCTCGGACATTCAGGCCGGTAAATGTTATTTAATACTGTTTATTATAAACAGAGCATTTACTTAAATACGTGTATCGATAAAAAGAATGTTAAACATAAAAATGTCTTTAAATAATTGTCGGACTTTGTTCATTTCATTTATATATATATATATATATATATATACATACATATAATATAAACCTAAAGAGCCAGGTAAACGTACTTAGGTTTCACCTAAATGGATCGTCACGGTCAAACTGATCCTTTGACCCTGGCGATCCGATTAGGTGAAACCTAGGTAGGTTTACCTGTCTCTTTAGGTTTGCTATACTTCGTGTATTGAGCACTTTACGTAGTTACTTTTACTCGTTTTGGAGGGTTTCTTTTCTTTGGACACTGAGCTTGAATTGTAGACGATTGTTTTCGCCTCAATTTCATGTTCTTAGTTCTTTCTTTTTTATTCCTTGGCTACTGGTTTGTTCAACTACAAGCCGAAATACCTTAGGTTTTTCCAAGCGAGTACCACTATATATATATATATATACTGTTATGGTCCGGTTCCTTGTACCGCGGTGATAGTCCAAGGTAGAACCAATAAAGAAAAACTCGAATACGAATATGGAATAACACAGATATATTATATGTTAAATTGAGTCGTAGATTAGTAAATAGATTAGGAAAGGAAGGAATAACAGAAAGACAAGTGTGTAAAAGGAAAAAAGGACAGAAAGAAAGAATTATAGATAATTTGTTTAAAATAAATAATCTATTTGTAAAATAAAGAAAATGTCTGTATGAAAGAAGAATAGGAAGAAAATATTTTTGTAAATGAAAGAAAGATAGAGGAAAGGAAGAAAAGAATGAAAGAAAAATATATTTAACGAAAGAATGAGTATTTGTATATAACCCAGAAATGAGGGAAAAAAACGAAAGAAGAAAAATTTATTTTTCAATGGAAGAATGAATGTATTACACAGAAAGTAAGTAAGAAAGAAGAAGAAGAAGGAGGTTTATTTTTCAATGAAAGGATGAATATCTGTATATAACAATGAAAGAAAGAAATTTATGTTTCAATGAATATCTGTATATAACAATGAAAGTAAGGAAGAAAGAAAGAAAGAAAGAAAGAAAGAAAGAGAGATGGAAACTTAATTTATAATGAACGAATGCATTTCTGTATATAACAATGAAAGAAAGAAAGAAAAAAGAAAGATGGAAATTTGTGTTTCAAAGAAAAAATGAGTCCCTGTATATAACACAGAAAGAAAAATAAGAAGAAAGTAAAGAAAACTATCTGTTTCAAGGAACGGAAGGACGAAAGAATAGGTCAAAGCATGAAAGAAAAAGAAAGAAAATATATTTGTAAAATAAAGAATGAAAGAAAGTATGAATTAATTAAATAAAAATATAAAAATGGAAATAAAAATGACAGGAAGAAGACGTCTGAATGAAATAAAAAAATCTACCCCCAAAAGAAAGATGCAAAATCAGAATAAATGATAAGAAGAAGGAGCATATTTTCGTAAAGGAAAGAATGAAAGACTGGGTATAAAAATAAAATAAAAAAGAAAGAAAATACATTTGTAAAAGAAAGAAAGAAAAAAGAAAGAAAGAAAGAAAAAGGAAGAAAGAAAAGAAAGAACAAAGAAAAAAACAAGAAGAAAGAAAAAAGAGAGGAAGAAAGAAAGAAAAAAGAAAGAAAGGAACGAACGAAGAAAGAAATAAACAAACAAGAAAGAAAAAAAGAAAGAAAGAAAGAAAGAAAGAAAAAAAAAAAAAACAAACAAAAGAGAAAAAGAAAGAAAGAACAAAGTAGAAAAAAGAAAAAGAAAGAAAAAGAAGGAAAAAGAAAGAAAGAGGTTTAAAACTCAAGAGAGAAATAAATAACTATAAGAGAAAAAGATAGAAAATCAGTATGAATGAAAAAGGAGCATAATTTCGTAAAAGAAAGAATAAAAGATTGCATATGAGCATAAAATAAAAAGGAAACAAAATACATTTGCAAAAGAAAGAAAGAAAGAAAGAAAAATGAAGAAAGGGAGAAAGAAAAAGAAAGAAAGAAAAAAGAAAAAAGGAAGGAAGAAAGAAAGAAACAAAGAAAGGAAGGAACGAATGAACGAAGAAAGAAAGAAACAAACAAGAAAGAAAGAAAAGAAAAAACAAACGAACAAAAAGAAAAAGAAATAAAGAAAAGTAGAAAAAAGAAAGAAAAAAGAAAAAAAGAAAAAGAAAGAAAAAAGAAGGAAAGAGAAAGAAAGAGGTTTAAAACTCAAGAAAAAAAATAAATAACTATTAAAGAAAGAAAAAATAAAATAGGAATGAACTAAACACAGTTTCATTTGGTTTGGTTTGGTTTGGTTTGGTTTGGTTGGTTTATCGGCACATCAGTATACATTTGGGTTATTTAATGCCGGAATTACTTAGTATTAGAAAACATGGGTTGAAATATGTTTCAAAAATAGAAAAATGTTTGGGTAGAAAGTTTTTGCGAGAAATGTAAAAATTATATGTTTAAGTTTTTGAGAATAGATGTTCATATAAAATCTGACTTTTTTTAGAATTGAATTATTTCGGATGAATTGACTTCGAAATCGACTTAGATGTCCACAGTTCACTCGAATATGTTTCATTGTGTATTGTTCTTGGCATACAATGCACATCGATGGTTCTTCGTTTTTCCAATCCAAAACACGAAAATATGAAATACAGAAATGTTAGAAAATAAAAGTCTTGGAGACTTTTTATCGATCGAAAATAAGACAAAATTTAAGAAGTCGAAATCTGAAACGAAATGTTTGAAATATGAAACATTTGAAGACAAAGTCATCGAGAAGAAACAAATAAACAGGAAGACCGCTTCTAGATATGTTACAGAGACTAAAGTAAAATTGTGCAAGAATTAGGGGAATCCCTCGATTAGTGCGGCTTATCTATACATCGGTAACTATAAAAAGATCAGTTTTCAATTGCTATGGTTAAAGGTGAACAATTTTTTACCGCACTAATCGAGTATTATGTATGCACCAATCGTATTTTGGTATACAACAACCCTTACCTCACAGTCGGTGGGGGGGTGTAAACGGTAGTGTCAGAGCTATGCCGCCCGGAACTTCGTTCCTGGTAGGGCCACCCAAGGCGGACAGGTCTCACACACATGCTGGCTAACAAGGGCTCTGGTGAAAATCCAAGGAGTGTCTGCATCGGCAACCGGCGGCTTCTGGTCGTTTCTGTCCCTGCGTCTGTGGGAATCCCGCGGCAAGCAAGAACGTTATCCGAGTAGGCCTGGGTACCCTACTTCTGTAATTTATCCCAAGAATCTTCTTCTCATAACAGGAAGAAGCCTGCTCAATCCGCCCAGGGTGAATGCCGCATCAGTACAGTACAGTATACAACAATTTTAGCGCGCGAATCGGAAATGCATTAATCGTGGAATGCATGTATTAGGGAAAAAATAACGAATGAGATAGAAAACATGACAAATATACACCTTCCAGCCTGCAAAAAATGGATTTTTAAAAGAAAGGTATTTCGCATGAAGCTGCTTTTATTTAAACTACATTCACACCTCGGCAATGTTTATTGTTTTAAAAAGCGATGAGTAGAACTGTGGTAAAACCTAATCGTATTATGAAAGGGAATTTTTACATTTTTTTTTTCTTGAGAATAACGGAACTATTAATCACAATTTATTTTTTAAATTGTTTATTTACAAGAATAATTTTATATTTGCGACATTCTAAAGACTAATAAAATTAAAACTAATGCAATGAAATATTTACCATTTACCAACTTATAAATAAATAGATATGAAAACAAATGTTTATTCATAAATTTATAAACATTTAGTAAATTATTTCAGTATGTGAACCAATTGCAATGAAATCCTTATTATTTACCATTTTATAAAGTTCAAATCAATTGGTAATTATCTGATATTTTGCAAATCATTCCAATAAACGATATAATATTTTTTTTTTAATTTTATATTTTTGTTGTCATTTCTCAAGAAAAAAGAAAATGTATAAATTCACTTTCATCAAATGTTTATATTTTATAACAAAGCACAAACTGAATTTAAAAAAATACAACATGAAGAAGGAAGATATTTTTACGGTGATAGAAAAACAAGGAGAACAGAAGCAAGAAAGGAAGAAAGCAAATTTGATAAAAAAGCAAAATAAAGGGAAACAACCGTTATTTCCAACAACGAAGGCTCCCCAGAACGGGACAAAAAAAAAAAAGAAAAAAGAAAAAAATGGTGACGAAAAACAAAAAGAAAGAAAGAAAAAAAAGTTTTACAGGGAATATTTGATTAGGATTAATAATACCGAGAAAATAAGGAAAAGACTGAACGAAAAAGAAATGAAAAAAATGTGAATGATTTATGCGAATTATAGAATGAGTCGAACCTTACTAAAGCGGTAAGGAAACTCACACACACACACACACACACACACACATATATATATATATATATATATATATATATATATATAAAAGATGTTACATACGGATAAACTTCTCACGACAAAGATGCATTTTTGTTTCGATGCGAATGCATCTCGACAGGTGAGGAACAAAGATGATTCTATTAAATAATGCTCTTTCTGAAAAAACACATTCTTTTTTTTTTTTCATTATTCAGTTTTTTAAGACATAATAAGAAACATCATAAAAGGAAAAGAAATAATAATGAGGAAGAAGTCGACCAAAACAGGTAAACGCAAAGAGAAGAGGATAAGAAGACAATAAAAGAAAAAAAACAAGATCGAAAGAAGAAAGAGAAATATAAGAGTTAAGAAAAGTTAAAAGAAAAACAAGTCATAATTCGAAAGAAAAAAAAAGAACAAAGAATAGAATAGAATAGAAAACAAAGAGGAGAAATACCTACATGAATAGGGGAAAAAAAAACGGAAAAAAGAAAAAGAAAGAAAGAACAAAGGAAGACAATATGTGCTGTTACTAACAATTCAGTCAAAGAAAGGACGTTAACATTAAGATTCATTTCGTGTAAAATTCCAAGACAAAGATAAATTTGATACTTATCGAAAGATTTTTATTAAAAGAATGACGACAATATTAATTAAGCTGCATTATTTAATAATTTAAAAAGAATCGATCTGCAGTAAAATTATATATATATATATTGAAATCTTCTGGGACATTGCTCTATTTATTGGGCCAACAGTCCTTGTCACGTTAACGGAAAAAATAAAAACACAATAATAGAAATTGTGAATTACTATATTGCTACAATATTCAAAAAATCTATCGTTGCATTACTGTATGCTCCAAAAATTCTTAACTCTTAATAATAGGACATTTTTAATAAAATCTTTCGACAAGTATCACATTCATCTTCGCTTTGGAATTTTATCTGAAATTACTAGAAATTGAGAAAAAATAACATCTATGCCTGAGGATAGTAAATGTTTTACCGAAAGTACTTGCAATATGGACCGGACATCTAATCCATTTTACAATTAATAAAAACAAGGATTGTGTTGGTCAGTGAGTAGTCATTAAGTTAATGCCTTATTTAATCTGTTAGCGAAGTGAATTCGTCATTAATTACATAAACTTTATTGATTTATTCCTTGAATGACTATTTTACAATATTAATTAAACTGCATTATTTAAATATACATATGTGTGTGTGTTTGTGTGTGTTTTGTGTGTGTGTGTGTTTAGGCAGGATATCTTCATTCATGCATGTTTCTTTAAATGATATAGGCATATATGTCTATCTCTTTTTATAATAATCCTTTCTAGTTCACTTATTAGATTCTTCATATTATTTGAAATTCATCAAGGAAGGAGCCGTAATGTAAATGTGATCGTTCCGATGGTGATTTTCATAAAACACGCGTGAACGCACTTTTATAATTATTTCAAAATTATACGTTGTAGCTATGGTATGGTGTTTGTTTTTGTAAACAAGCAGATTATATATATATAGAAGCTCCGACTGACACCAATTCAGCCGGGTTTCGATCCTAGCTAGAGGCAACCGGTTGTCTAGCCACACTGATGAGCTGTAAACAGCGAAACAGTCTGTCTGTGGATGACGTTATATATATATATATATATATATATATATATATATATATATATATATAGAGAGAGAGAGAGAGAGAGAGAGAGAGACAGACAGAGAGAGAGAGAGAGAGAGGAGAGACAGAGGAACATATGGATGGACATTGAACTATATGGATGGACATTCTATTAACACTCTAGGTCTCACTGTTTCTCTCTCTCTCTCTCTGTGTCACTATCATCTTAGGCCTCTAAATTCTATTATATATATTTCACAGAGGCAGAGACTGCATATCATATCTGGACATTGACCTATGGTGCCTATATATGTTAGGCCTAAATTCTATTTCTGTTTCAGTATCAGTATATGTTATCTACCTATCTGTCTCATTCTCTCTCTCTCTGTCTCTCTCTCTCTCTCTCTCTCTATATATATATATATATATATATATATATATGATGGCTATAAAAATTTATAGATATATATATGATAAAAACAAGGATTTATTCAAAATCTATTCCTATCTATCTGTGTATATCTCTCTCTCTCTCTCTCTCTCTATATATATATATATATATATATATATATATATATTTATATATATAAACAGAGAGCAGAAACTGATGGACATTGAAAAACACTATAGCCTCACCAAAATTCTTTTTCTAATTTCAGTATCTATCTATCTTCTATCTATCTATCTATCTATCTATCTATCTCTCACTCTCTCTCTCTCCTCCCTCTCTCTCTGTCAAAATATATATATATATATATATATATATATATGATGGCTGAAAAATTTATTGCATATGAGATATGCATAATTATTCATAATTATTCTCATATTGTAATCTAGGTACCTCCATTAACTCGCTGAAAAAGAGCAAAGACTGATGAAAAAAATGCCTCACACTTAAAGTTTTATCGTCAAAATATTTATGTTATTATTACGGGCAAGACCAAAGTATTTTTAATGTTCTTTTTTAAATTTTTACTCCTTTCTAACACGTTCAAAATCCTTTTTTTTTATGCATCAACTGGATAACAGAACTGATAATGGAAAATTTCGTTCCTGTTTTCTTGTAAAACAACACATGAATATAGAAAGTCTTGCAAAGATCAAATAATTGTCGCATTTTGATGAATCTTTCATTTCTTATTAAAAAATGAATGAAATTATTTTTGAAATTATTACTTCTTAGAAAATCTTTGTAAACATATTTTTTTACATCTGTTATCCATCACTTACTTTATTTCCAGAAATTTCTGGAAATTAATTTTTTTTTTTTGTTTTTTATTTCTTAAAAGCAGGACTCCTTGGAGAATGTAAATCATTTTATTTTCACACTATTGCCATTTTTCGTAAAATCTGCCCCGAATCATAAAATAAAAACTATGGAATGGCCCTTGCAGCGTGTCTTACTGGCGATGGTTCGAGGTAATGCTTTCTCCATCCTTGCGGCTGGCAGCGGTTAGAAAAAATTGTTTATTGTTACGTTGTTCTGGAATTGTCATCAGTGGTCAACTGAACTTACTTTATTTCCTAATTTAAAAAAAAAACAACGATAAAACTATCTAATTATTTAATTAGATAAGCTTTTAATTGCTTTTATAAATAATATATATTAAGGACATTATATTCCGAAGAAAAAAAATTCGATGAATGATGAAATGAAGATTTTTTTTCATTTTTTTTTAATTATAATAATTTATAAAGTTTTAAAAATGTTTTCAAAATTCTTCCACATTTCCTCCCCATTAGGTTGTTAACTTATTAAGTGAAGACTATATTTACGAAGCGAAAATTGAAAAGCTGAACACAAATCATAACGCTGTTATTTTTCAAAACAATTTTAATTATTTTATGTGTGAAAACGTGCCGATTTTGAAAGTATGGGTGACCATCCACGACATTATCAAAATATAAGATCGATCATGATAGTAAATTTAAAGTCAACATTTGTAAAATTAGATTTCGGAGAATATTTCCAAAATTTTTAAGATTAATGAGTACTTCAAAAAAAAATCATTCACGCGTCATTTTCTTAAATTATGTTTTAACAAATTTCTTAAGCTCTCTGTAGAACAATAATAAATGTTTCAAAGTGATTTACGAGGTGTTGACAATCGCCGCTACTGTTTGCTTAAAAAATCCATTTCTCTGTTATTTTCAAATTATAGTAAATAATATTTGTTTCAAATCAGATAAATTATACTTTAAATCAGCTAATATTCATCAAATAATATTTCAGGAAAGTTTATTTTCTTTTTCGAAGATTTTCTTAATAAAGAAAAATTCATAGCGATGACAGATGGTTAAAATTGGACACTAATCAGATATTTGTCTATATTTCTGAGATAAGGTATTATGTACACTATTTGTATTATTCGGACTATTGTCCTCATCTTTGTCGCCATATTTATTACAACGTTTCGGCCTTTCAGTATCTGTCTATATTTCTGAGATGAGGTATTATGCACACTATTTATATTATTCGGACTATTGTCCTCATCTTTGTCGCCATATTTATTACAACGTTTCGGCCTTTCAGTATCTGTCTATATTTCTGAGATGAGGTATTATGTACATTATTTACATTATTCGGACTATTGTCCTCATCTTTGTCGCCATATTTATTACAACGTTTCGGCCATCATACGCTCCGGCCTAACTAACGACTTTTTCCACTGTGCCATTATCCACTGTGCCTTTATCGTCAAGGACACATGGCACAATGGATAAAGGCGTTAGTTAGATCCAGTGACAGGACCCAAAAGAGTGTGAGTTCAATGCCCAGTTAAGGCAGTGGAGAACTTGGAGATGGGAATTAACAGGAGATAACTGACAAATATCATCTATTGAACATAGCACGTGGAACCCCAGTGAGCGAAATAAAGGGTTCAGTTCGACATTTCAACCAACTGAAGAAGGCCGGAGCGTACAACGGCTGAAACGTTGTAATAAATATGGCGAAAAAGATGAGGACAATAGTCCAAATAATGTAAATAGTGTAATCAGCTATAATAGGCAAAAAAATGTAAAATAGAATTTCTGTTTGAAATATACTAGATTATTTTACTGACTTTTCAATTAAAGCTAAAATGAAAAATTCAAGAAAGATTGTTTATTTATGAAAATTCATTTAAATCTTAGGTTTACAGAATTATTGGAGGTACTTTTCTATTTCATTAGTCTTTACCACGTTAAGATAAGTGACATGACTGGCGATGGGAAGATTCTGATTCCACTATATCTAATGAGAAGATTACTGCTTCATAAAAAGACTACCTTTGGAGATATTATTTGCATTGTAGATTTTGATTTTGGGGTGGATTCTCTGTGGGTTTGACGATAAACTACATCCGCGTCCTGAGTAAGACGATAAACTACATCCAACAGCCAAACCTCCGATCAGGAGCATAGAACCACCTCTTAACTGCTGGTGTTCCCAGGTCCACTCTGACCCGGAGTGGTAGCATCTGTTAGGCGTCCCAGCTAGGGATAAATGGGGTCAAATCATTATGAAAGTGTAAAATAGGTTTTAATACCAGCAATTTTTGTAAAGAATTATTACCAACAATGAATTTTTGGAAAAAAATATTAGCAGCAATACATTTTTCGAAAAAACAAATATCAATAGTTGTTGAAACTTGACTAATGCATGGAATAATAATGCAACACAAAAGATACTTAGAACAAAATGTATTGAAACAAGAAAGTGTACACAATATTTACATATTGTCTTTTGTATATTCCTGGTAAGACCGTTCCTGGAGAATGTGTTGACTGAGTCGCAGTCGGGCAGAGTCTCTGGTTGAATCTCTTGATTCCTTCCTCTCTTCCCGGTACCAACCATATTTATATGGTCGGTACTCCACTATGCAAATTAGGTAGATCCTACCACAACAGTAGTAATACATTTTTGGAAAAAAAAATATTACCAGTAATAAAGATCTTGTCGGCATTAAATAACTCATTGAGATTGATATGCCGTAAAACAAATCAAAAGAAACAATTTAGCACTGATTCTAATCTAAATTTCAGAGCTCCTTTCTTGCTGTCGTATCTGAGAATTTGGTTCATTTACGGAGTTCACGAGACTAGCCGAGTTATAAATTTTATTTTAATAATATATAAAAATGATTACAATGAAGAACTAAAAAGCATCATTTTATGATATATTTAAAATTATCTAAGGAGCGACTCTTTGAATAACACGCTGCGCCATTTTTATCTGGTTTTCTATTGACGCAAAGGTGAATGACTATAATGTAGTAGTTGCTAGATCTACTGCCAGAAAAGTCGGTACATTGTATTGAGCTAAACAATCTTCCTTGCCAGAATCAGATATATTCTGATAGATATATAGATAGATATACAGATACTGAAATTAGAAATAGAATTTAGGTCTAACATGATAGTTACCATAGAGTGTCAATTTCAATGACCATCCTTATATCCTCTTTCTCACTCTCCTGCTATATATTTAGAGATCCTTGATAAAATATAAAGAATAATCTTATTGTTACGAATGTTCTTGGTTCTGAACTGAGTAGCGTTGCAGCTCAGACCAGGTACCAGAATAAATATAGAAAAAAAAAATGAAAATAAAAACAAGTAAAATAAATTAACTCAAATAAATAAATAAATAAACAAGACACTCCCGCCAAAATAACCGCCAGAATGGATTACCCACAATGCACCACTGACCCATATATATATATAAATAGTCGAGAAAAAATCCAACACTCACGGCCTGATCATTGAGTTTAGCATGAAACAGCCTGTCACCTCTGTGTGTTGACGTCAATGTTCACTTTTATATTAATATTTAACGCTCTATCTCTGATATTGAGCATTTTATCCCGTAAATATAGCACACCTTAAAACTGTATTTCTTCATATATATATATATATATATATATATATATATATATATATATATATATATATATATAATTGTTTATTTAGGTATTAATCGCTCATTTATACATGTTTAATTGAAGAGGACTCATAAAGCAACATGATTAAGGTTTTCATTGTATATTTCTTACGGAGAAATTTTATTTTGGCACATAGAATGATAACTCTCCAATTGATCTTTGGATCCGAACAGTTTTAGTCATTATCAAGAATGATTTTTTATTTTCGGAATATGTAGATTAATGGTTTAATTCTCGAATACTGTCAGCCTATCATGGCCGTGTTCATGATTAATATTATTAAAAAGTTGTTTTTTGTGTTTGAGTAGTATGGCTTACATTAATCTTAAACGTTTTCTGCAGTTAGATGTGTGTATTATGTTGGTGTTTTTTTTACAAGTATGTTGCAATTTTTGTTGATAGTTCCCGGTGTGATTTTAAAAGCTTCCTAATGTAGCTACGATCCGAGAGATGCAATGTAAGTCATCTTGATAGGTTAGTAGTTGTATGTGCCATACAACTATACTTCACGAATTTGTTTTCATCGTCAACGTTGTTCCGCGAGAGACATGTAAATTCATAAATATTGCTGGTGAGTTATTCTTTTCTTAACCGTTTTAATTGTTTAACAATAAATAATCAACTTAATCTTCTTGTTCTGGTTGATTGGTGCAATGAGAAGTGAAAAAAAATAATGGAGAAAAAAGCGCCATTATTTTTTTCACAAATGTCGATCACTCGGATTCATATACGCATGTTTCCTTAAGGATTCGTGCTTGTTATACCATATGTTGTATATTGAACTAAACCTATTTGTCTATACGGTT